AACTCAATAAATTATAAGTCACAAACACAAATTTTATAGGTCACATATTATTTTTTTTCGATCACAACTCAATAAATTATGAGTCACAAACACAAATTTTATAGGTCACATATTATTTTTTGATCACGAATCAAAAATTTTATGGGTCACGAAATCAAAATTGTTATTGGTCACATCTAATTTGTCGACCACAAATCAAAAATTTCTTAAGTCACAATTCATTGATTAGTCACAAAATCAAAATTTTAATTGGTCACAATTCATTTGTCAGTCACAAATTATATCAAAATAATTGGTCACAATTAATTTTATGGTCACAAATTAATAAATTACAAGTCACAAACCAATTTATTGGTCACAAATAACTAAAAAATTGGTCACAAATACCCCGTCCCATCCCGTCGACCCACAATCACCACCTGCCACGACCACCTTCATCTCATCGGTATGCAAAACCACCATCACAGCAACCACCCACGCCACGTCAATGTAAAATCACCGTCACAGTAACCACACCATCACACACCAAACTCCGAAACCAATAACGTCCACTGCCGCCAGAAAACGACTACGATCGCAGCTACCAAACACACCAACAGTAGCACTGCATGCCACCAAAGTCACCACCACCACACCCTTACACCACCGCGCACCACCATCGCTCCACAGCCCACGACACAACACCAGCATAACCACATCACAAGGCCCACGACACTACACAACCAAATCAAGCAATTTACTGGTCAAAGACACTATTGATTCACCCGACCGACGCCGACGCTGCTGCCACCAACACCATGCCGCCATCGCCGGCGCCGCGTCCAACAACCAAGAAAAAAAATCTACACCACGATCTTCACTGCTATAGCCACCACCATAACCTTGCATCATCACCCACACCACCACAGCGCTATCACCACCGCACTGCCACCATCACAGATTCATTGCCACCAAAGCCACTAGATCTACACCGCCAATACCACCACACCCTTGCATCGTCGCCTGCACAGATCCACACCGTCAATACTATCGCACCACAACCACAACTGCAACAAATCCATCACCCCGCATATATTCATGCCGCCAATACCACTGCACCCTGCATCGTCGCCTGCACCACCACATCAACACCACACCATCATCGCCACTGCACCACCACCCATCAACACCACCACAAATTCACAACTACCCAAACCCCTAGATCTACCACCACAGCCGCTGCCACAAATCGTCGTCACAGATTCACGAGGTGACCTATTGCGGATATAGGAGAGGAGATAGAAGGGAACCGAGGTCGTTGAATTGGAGATGGGCGACGACGACTCTTCGTCTATTAGCTTAACTCCGGCGTCGGGGATCTCATATTTTTCCCCAATTGTTGAGAGCCGTCGTTGAGGGGTGAGAGAAGGGAGAGAGAAGTGAGGTAGTTTAGGATTCAGAGAGAGTAATGTTTAATTATTTTTTTATATAGATTAATTTATTAATAAAAAAGTTCTGATTTGTGAAAATACTAAACATGCCATCTTATTTATGAAATGGGGATTCTTAATCTATTAGAATATGTAATTTCCACATAAATAAATATTGGATTTGGGTTAGGAATGAAGTTATTTAGGCTGGGCTAAATCTCTTAGCTCTGTTTGGCCCCCATTAAATTCTATTTATTTTTCTTTCTTATTTCAATCACACAATTTTCCATAAAATAATATTACACATAAATCAAAAAAAATTTCTTCTTTTTCAACTACTCATTTGTCATCCTTTTCCTCCATCGTATTATTTGCATTACAACAAAAAATAAATGGCTATAGCTATTCCAAGAATGCATAAATATTAATGGAATACTAAATTTTCCATATATATTTGTTTGCATTGAATTCTGTTGATATACATTTTTTGGCATTCGATGAAAGCAATCATTTAGACGTTTGATTTCTACACTGTTATAGTTTCAAATATGTCTTAAATGACACATGGACAACGAAAATCTCTCTGCAGCCAAAATGTACATAACCTGGACAGCAGTCCCGTGTTCACTGTTCAAAAAGTAGCCATTCCGACAAAATCATGCTATGCCTTCAACAATCATTGTATAAAATTGAAGAATCCATAAAAAAAATTGTATAAAATTTACCTTTTTTGGTCCCTCCACAGTATGAAAAAGAGCTTCCTCCATACAATAAAGCTTCTTGTACATCATAGCATACACCACGGTATACAGTTCTTTCACAATGTGAAGGGGCTCACATAAATTTTATAATTGTGGACCTTCTCATTGTGAGAGGGGTGTACAACAATTAATTATTGTACACCAAGCACTACTGTCTTCCATAACTACATTTTTTTCGTTTTCTGTACTTCTTGGGTCCTCCATGTTCCTGGCAACCACGACAAGAATCTTTCTATGTCTTGTGGCCAAATTTTGATTGAATTGATTAAGGAAAAAAATCTAGGGTTCGCACCAATTTGGGATGGACTGTGCACAGTCTAAATTTCAATTAATTGACATGTAGATATAGAACTTGATGATATGTATTACAAAGTTGGGATTAACAATTGAATGAATTAGTTAGAGGATTTGATTTGAAGATGAAGGTGATTTGGTTATTTAGAAAATAATAATTTTAGAAGATATGGAATCGTCCATGTCATTTTTTTATATTTAAGTGGAATTTATTGTCCAGCTGTATAGACGAATTTGAGCCTAGTCATGGATGGATAAATTAAGAAATAGTTGATTGAGCACATTCGATAATCATTTATTTTTCGATAAACAATGCTACATATACATATTTTTTTTACATACTATTCATAATAGCGGGTGGGGACCACATTTATAAATTTTTATATTCATGTGAGGTCCACGTGAGTTGTGAGAGGGGAGGACAACTTTCGATACTCTCAATTCGGTACAAATAGAATTATTATTCTTCGATTAGCAAGTTGTAATCAATAGTAAACTTTAGTGAACTTCCATTTAATTTACTCTCCTAGGTTACACCATCCTCAGAAAACCCGGCTAAAGCAAAAGGTAATGGGTTTTGTTATGGGAAAAATTCATAATTCAGATGTATTATTTATACCAATTCAAAAATGAGGTAGACAGTTTGAAAATTCAAAATTCAAGTATATATTTGATTAATTGAAAATATTTATTAAATGAATATAATAAAGTCAGTGCTATACGATTAATGGTCACAGATTCATAATTATAGGTTACGAATTTATTTACTAGTCACATATCATCAAATTAATTGGTCACAGATTATTTCGTGATCACAAATCAAAAATTTTGTGGGTCACAAATTATTTCGATATCACGGATCATTCAAATTACAAGTTAGAGTTTATTTATGGGTCACAAATTTTCAAATTTATTGGTCACAAATTATTTTTTAGTCACAGATGATTGAATTTTAAGGTCACAGACCTAATCGTTGGTTACATACACTAGACACTCTACCTCCGATATCAATCCACCACCAATATTTGGTCATATAGCAACCAAATAGTTGGTTACAATCACTATTACACCCTGCCCCGCTACAACACCACCACGACCAACCAAAACACAACGATCGACTACATCATACCACCATATAACCGTCGACCAACATCTCGCGGTCGACGCCACCACCAGCATCACCACTACCCCCAAGTCCCCAACAATGCACCACCACATCACACCTTCCGTAACCAACACGCCATCGCCTACACCGCACCACCACCACCAACTAAAAAAAAAAAAAAAAAAAAAAAAAAAAAACTACCACCATTATCACCTAAACCACACTATCACTACCTAAAACAAACCACCAACAAAAAAGCTTCCACCGTGTCCTTTACCACACCACCACAACCACCAACAAACACCGACCAAAAAAGGCCAATCACTATAGCTACCGTCTGCACAGAACCACAACACACGGTCTACACCACATCGCTACGTAGATCCAAGACTCACCACCACACTACACCATACTGCTACCTAGATCTACACCTACCATCGTGATGCTGTCGTTCACAGCAACGTCGACCGGCAAAAGCTAAGTAGAGAAGGAGCACGCTCACTACTCCATAGTCGTCACCATAGTAAGTAGAGAAGAATTGGCGCTCACACCCCCAGGCAAATGCCATGAATCGTCGATAAAATTTCCAATCGTTACAAGATGCAGCTGCTACGCTTTTACCTGAGCGAGCTGGTGAACGACTGTCGCCGTAAATTTGACGGTGGTCCCCAACAGTGGGCGATAACATCGAAGATGTGGGTTAACTGGAGAAAGTGATGAGAGAAGACGCTATGAAATGATTTTGAATTTTAGGGATGAAAAGGGGATGAAAATATTTATAGTATTAATATTATTACCATTAATATTTAAATTAATATCTTAATTCTGAATAAAAAAAACCTTCCCATAGGATTTTTTGCATTGTGATATTTAAATGTCTGGACTCTTGTAATTTTCACTTTTGTTATTTCATATTTATATATCGAAATATATTTAGGGTCCGTTTGATTGTAAAGATAGAATTGAATTGCCTAAAATTATTTTCCTGAAAATTGTAAATTATTGTGTTTGATTGATATAATTTTTCACGTGGAAAATATTGAAAAAAAAGTGTTTTTTGGTGTTCGTTTGATTTTGTTTTATATGAAAATTGTCAATTAGAGTGATATATTTTACTGGTATTGGGAATTAAATTTATTTCCATTGTCAATAAAAAAAATTCAAGAAAATCATTTATCTTTCGGTGTTCGTTTGACTTTGTTTTATATGAAAATTGTCATTTAAAGGGAAATATTTTTTTACAATAATTCTTAAATTTTGTTTTCATTATCAAAAAAAAAAAGGAAAAAAATGCTACAGTAAATAGGAAAATCAATTTCCCACCATTTCCTTAAAAACCAAAAAAAGTACAAATTTCAAAACAACCAAAAATTCGAATTCCATAAATAAAAAATGTATTAAACACAAATCCAATTTCAATTCTATTTTCACCCTATCAAACCCGGAAAACCCGAAAACTAAAAACCCTATCAACAGTTGTTTCGCATAATCTCTCTCAAAAATTCTCCAACGGCTCTCTCCCCAACGGTTCTCTCCCCAAATTCAGCTCATCTGGAATCATCCCAACAATCGTTACTCTTGTGCTTGCCGCTTACAATTATCGGTCGTCCTTCAGTATCAGAAACCCTTGTCGCCTCCTACCGGTTCCGGCTACAACTATAATTCTCCCCGGAACAACGGTATGAAAAAAAAAAAATAATTCGAAGTTCGCGTAGAATAAATTTATCCTAGCTCTCTACGTGGTTGAATCTTGGCGCCACCTCTTGTTTTAATAGTGCTTTATTTGATATTTTATGTTGCAAATAAGGGTTATTGTAATGGTGCAATTTATTCATTGGTATTGGTACATTCTTTTCCTGTTAAGATATAGAATTTGAACTTTAATATCGGGTAACATACATTAACGCTTCTATGAGAAAATTTCATATGATAAAGAGGAATATAGTATTTAAATAGGTGAAACTGAAATAGACTGATGTAGTGGCAAAAGCTGGGACTTTTATATGAGGTGTGACCACCTGAAGATGAACGAATAGGAAGCGCACGGATGTGTGTGTAGGGAAATCTGGGGTTGAATTACCGTGGGCTGTTTAGTTTGCTTTCTTTATACTTAAAAGTCCTTTAATTATGTCTTCAATAAATAATGGCACTAACAGGTTCATTATGTCATTTGCCTGGCTTAGGGTAGTTTTCTTTCTGCTTAAAACAATGATTTCTGCCACTTTGGATTTGATTGTTATATTTTATCGATAATAGACTTTGGGAATTGTTTCCAATATATTCTATTCCTTGTGTCCTTCATCAACATTCAACTGCACCATAGACTCATCTCTGATTCCTGTACGGCAAGCTCTTGTCGCCACTGGTACTGATGATATACATTCTCATAGAATAGCGTTGCTGCGGCTGAATGCATTTTCTTCTTCATTACGATTCACTCGGTTAACAGCTTGCACTTGAGCTTGCTCTAGCTTTCTGAAACCAATTTCTTGACTTTAACTTTTGGAAAGGCTTCTGTTTGTTTTTGTTTCACCTTTTTCATAGACTAAACTCTTAACCTTTACCTGGCCAATGCAGGTCACCCTTCTCAACCCCACGTCTCTATCCGACATACTCACAAGGAGGAAGAGAGGAAAGAAAAACAGAGAATGGAGGAGCATTTTGAAGAAGTAATTAGACACGAGTGGTACAAAGAGGATTTCAAGACCATAGCATCTCATATTAAGGAACAGGAGAATCTCCTTAGGCTCAAACGAAGGTGAAGTTCTCTTCCTTCTTGGTCTTGTTTTTATTTAATTTATTAGTTTGTTTTAATATACCCTGTTTATGAAAAATTCCAAAAACTGCTGCTCAGGTGGTTAATGGACTTACCCTTGTCCAAGAAGGAACAACAACAAATAGAAGAACTCCTACCTCCCAATGACAGGTATGTATCTGTTGTTTTTTTTTATAATTCCTTTTTCAAACTTATCGTTTTCATCTTTAATTCGGCGTTTGCATGATCTTTTTACTTTCGTTGATTTATTTTTTAGAAATAACATTTCTTCCAGATGCGTGCCATTAGTGTTATTGCAGAATTTAAAATTTATAGTGTGTTTATTATATGTTGGTCGAGTACAGATAGAATTGTATCGTATGTATAAATTTCATCATGTTATTAAGATAGTAAGAGTAAATCACATGTAGTTATGCATAAATTATTCGGTAAATTTATTTGGTGAGTGAAAAAAACGAATATAGATTTAATATCTTCTCTTTTAGTTGAAAACCTACTGGTTAATGAGGTTTATCTTTGCAGAAAGATTGAAAATTCAATTGCATCTTTCTTTTAAACACTTCAAGTAGGAGCCTAAGACTGCAAAAGATGAATGATAGAGTTTGCAAAACTGTTTAAATTTTGTTTATCATTTCTTCAATCTAGATTTCCAGGTTCTTGCAACAGTTAGTTGTTACTGAAAGAAGAACATTTTAGAGGCATAAGTTCTGTACTTATTACTATCTTCCTTTTAATGCTAAACACACATTGTTAGTTATTATTAGTGAAATTTCATCTTAATCAGCAAGATTATTTAGTGTTCTCTTATGCAGTAAAGATCTTACACCATAAATAATGTCAATTTTCAAGATATGTCATATTGCATATAGCCAATTTTTTAAGACAATTCTATGGAGTCCAACAGCCTAAATGGTTTTAGCGAGTTTTATGCTCAGAAAAACATGCATATCCTTTCAGGCTTTCACAATATCTCAGTCCATGTGACAAGGTATAGCATTGATCAGGAATCAGGAGTGTTGACTGTTTTTTATCCTGCTTTCATGCTGGTGTGTGTGCGTACTCTCTTCCTTTTTTGCTGGTGTAGTTTCATATATTTTGAACTGTTATAATGATTTTACAGTTAGTATATTTTAAATTTTTATTTGTATTTGCAGGATTTTGCCTGAGTCACTGCTTAGGGAAGATGACGTAAGTTTTTGGAATATGCTAAATTATATCGCTTATGAGTCATGAAATGGTTTTTGAGAAATGCTATAACTTTGTGCGATTATTGATTTTATCCTTGCATTACTCTTCTGCATTAATTTCATTGGAACACCAAATGTTCTGTTGACATTAACTGGTAGGACTGTACTCATAAATTGTGCTGTGTGATTAATATGTATGCCTATTGTCACACAATAAGGTTTTACATGGCAGATCAGTCATTATCCACTATGCTACTGTATTTTATGTGACTTCAAGTATGCAAGCGTTCAATAATTTTGTATCTTTCCGATTAGAGGTCCATTTGGAGATAAACATTAATAAAATAAGCTTTTGTGTAGTATGTTGTGACATGGTTGACATACAATTATGCCCAGCATTTTTATTTCTTTACCCTCCTTCATAAATCAGCAATCACTGGTGTGATTATCGAGAAAATAGTGATTTAGTTATACAAATGTGCATGTGTGATTCTCTTTTCCTTTTTTTCTTGGGGCGGATGGGTGGATTGTGTGTGTGTTTGTTTGAAGTTATTCTGTCTTATCTTATGTTCAAATCTATTATAATCACAGGTATGCTATGAGAACATCAAAACTTTTGTTGAAAAGGGTTTTGGTGCTTGTGAGCGTGAAATAGATCAGGTGGCTCAAGAGGATATACAAAGTTTTGATTTGTATAATGATTATAAAGAGTTTTTTCACCTGCTAGATGATATGACCAACAGAGGCTTATGTTCGTTTCTTGAGATCCTGACAGGTGGAATGATTAAGTTTGAGAAAACCAACTGGAGAATGAAGACGATGATAAAAGATTATCTTAAAACACGTTCTGGGGAAAAAAATGATAATTCCGAAACAAAATTGAAACTATTATGTCAGTTGCTGGAAGACCCAAAAAACTTTCGTATCAATCAGGTGGCTTTGTCTTCTCGATCGAAATCCTATCACTCTGCTGCCATCAAGGTACTGGATGGACTTGAGGACATGCCTTTCAGAACATTGAGTGCAATGCATAGGAAGCTGAGAGGTGTTAGATACATTCCTAATATGCAGTCTCCTAAATCTGGATGGAGACGTGACAGTTTAATCAGTGTTGTGAGAAAAAGGTGCATGAAGATGCTCTTGGAACTTGGTGAAGGGGATGAGACCCCAGAACCGTTAGCCAATGCATTGGCGGTTGCAGGCTTGACATTAAAGCTAATACACAACACTCCTTCTGTAATAGACTTTCGTAAATTTTCACCAGAGACTGAAGCATTGCAAAATGATATTGCAAAGGCTATCTGGTTACTAGATGATGTAAAGAAAGTGAGCTTGATTGAGCTTAAGAAATTACAGTTTTTGCTGGATCCTAGTACTGAATTATCAGATAGAAGTTTGCGCATGGCAGTAAGGAATCTATTGACTGATTATCTTTTCGAGTGCAGTGATATGGACAATGTCCCAGATTGTTTACTCGAAATACTTTCCATTATCAATAGAAGATCTCAACTTCCATCTCGAAGAAAACGACTGTCTTCAAAAGTAAATTCATCTTCTCAAGAACTAATGAAGGAGGAGATTAAAAATGAGGTAGAGTGTATATTAATTGTTAGCGCTCAGGCAAAACAAATTGTGTGGGACTTGCTTTCTGAACATAGACTTGACCAAGATTTTGCCCAAGCTTACATGGAGGATTCAGAAGAAAGTGAAATGGCTGCTACTTCTGATGATGACAATGAAGAAGAGTTGAGTCTTCCTGAACTTTATAGGTTTCGTTCTCACGATCCAGATAACCAAATGGAAAGTATTGGTGAGACCAACCTAGCGGGGACAAACTCACCTGCCTCTACAAGTGAAACAGATAACTGTTCCCCATTGCTTTCACATAATGAAAGGTTAAATTACACTCTAGGTTCTATGCATATTAATGAAGCAGATTCAGTTGAGTCTTTTCATCTTGTACATTCTCCTTCATGTATAGAATCAAAGATGTGTGTTGACATGCAAAACATGGATAGAAATCAGCACCCATCGGGAAGTACTGGGGAACTGAGAATGGCTTGTACTGATATGCTGTTGACTGCTAAGGAAAATGTATCTACTCCTGTCTCTCCTGATAAAAATTCAAATAGGAATGACGTTGTAAGTCAAGAAATTTCAAGTAACTCAGCAGAAATCCCAAAATATGAATTTTCTGGAAACTTCTCTGGTGAACAATCAAACATTGTCAATAACCATAGCAAAGCAGTTAATCAATACCTCGAGGTCCAAGATGCTTGTGACAAAACTAGTATCGTAGCCTATGATTTAATTGGTTATATATTGGATGAATTCTCCAAGATTGAAGGCATAGATTTGTACCAAGGTGACAGATCATATCTCAGAAATTTTGCTTCAGTTCCTCAGTATTCTGAAGGTATGGAGACCATATATCTTCCTGCTCTTCTATTCACCGTGCTTAATAAATTAACCTGATTTCAATTAGCTTCTTGTTTTCAGCTTTTCTTTATTGATTTATTATGCTTACCTGATTTTTTCAAAGAATGAACTACTTTTATCTGTGTGTAAATTTGATGATGTCGTGACAAGTATGGAGTATATAGTTTCTGGGCACGCTGTATGGCGTTACTGTATTCTGTGCTCTAAAACCATAATTAAACTTTGAGTTCCAAATTTGGTCTTCTCTCTAAAGATTTTGATTTGTTTTGGACTTATCATTAAAAAAACCTGGCCCAGCTAATGTAATAAGGCTAGTACACTTAAATCCAAAAACTGATAGCCTAGTGTTGTAGCCTACTAAAAAACAAATTAGTAACCTGTTAGTTAAACTGAAATAAGAAACTTTTGTTAGGAGTCAATCCAGACAGCTCAAGGTTCTAAATGGCTTCACGTGGGAGCCATCCAACATCCAAATATGTCCTTGTTAGTTTTCCTTGCTTTCGTGTCAGACTGCACAGGTTGCACATCTTTTTTAACAATGAGAAGAAACCTGATTGAGATAAAATACGTACATACTTATTTGTGCTTGCCACTGTCTATCATTCCGTTTGCTATATTTTATTAATTTATTTATTTTTAAATTGTTACATTTAAATCCTCGTGAATGAACAGTATAACTAATCATTAATAAAATGGACCTTGCTAGTGTCTTCTATCAGTCAATCCTTGTTCTATTTTATTATTCCTTTTCCTTGTACATTGGCAAGAGAACTGGCATGACTTGTTAGCTGACTAACAGTTTCTGATGCGTTTTCTATATGTACAGTATTAAGGAATCAAATGGCCTCTTCTAAGGATGATGTCCTTGGTTCAATTTTTGTTCAGGCCCTTGACGAGTTATTACCCTCATTTCCTGAAAGGTAACTCTTAGCTAAATGTTCATATTTCGGGATGTTTATAATTTATTATGTTCGTAAGGTTTTGTGTTGTGGACTCTTTAAATTTGATGCTTAAAGGTTATTTTGCAATTCCTGATCCATGTTGTGATGCAACTCTACCTTTTGTACTTGAAAGCCTATGTTGGTAGATCTCTCGCTTCACTGAAATTTTTTAGACTTGTGTGACCATACATGCAGGAAAAAAAAACGTGGGTTCATTACCTCCTGTTTATCCCATTCACATGTTGCGAGTTCTAATGGTTTTTTGAAAATCCTAGAAACTAACCAAGTAAGATTTGCAATTTTGCATGCAAAAAAGTGCTTTAGATACTAAAAGGATTTATCATTATTCTGTGCGTCTCTTTCTGTGAGCTGTTTTTAAAGATCTTTATTTATTTATTTATTTTTCCATATTATAAGTGCAGTTTTGCGGTTCACTTGTTACCCCTCCAAAAAACTATAATTTACATACCGAAATTGGGAAAATAGACACCGTGTGGACAGTATGTTGGTCTTGGAAGTTACTGATTGTGGACTTCAGCTGAGGCTCTGCTACTGCAATATATTCAATTCCCAACTGGCAATGAACTGCTCATAGTTTGGTATTACTTGAAGAAGAAATTGTTAAGGAAACACAATGTCAAATCGTTACCCGTACATTAGAAAAAGAAATGAAATTTTGATTTGAAATGATAAGATGAATATCGAAGTAGTTTTTATTTCACACGTCTTAGATAAGCGAAGAGCTCTAGCTGTTAGAGACTTGTAACTTGTCTGATGAAGTGGACTAAACATAGTGTTGGTAGTATTGAAATTGAAGGGAATTTAAATGTTTACTGTATTGTCTAGCCTTATGCCACACCAAATATGTCTTTTAAGGTTTCTGACTAGTTTAGCCATCTCTAATTGCTTGCTTTCACCCTCTAAGTACATACGTATATCTGATTTAATTAACTTGCATGTTCATTTGCAGTGGAAAAGAGAAGATAAGGAAGTTGGCGTGCATGAAGTAGTCTTTCGTCTCTCTATCTATAGAGTTGTTATTGCATTGTAATCAAACCAGACATGATTTTAGGGGTCTGGTTTATTTATTTGCCCAAATTATGAGCAATGAGCATTAGATGGCAGCATATCTATGATGGGGAAAGGAGTTGGGAAGGCTGCCTTTCAATTGGTTTTTGTTTCAATTGGTTTTTGTTTAAAAGGCCTTTGATAATATAAAGTATAAGTATTTAAATATTTAAAAAGACTACTATACCCCTCCCCTCCAATTGAGCCCCAAATTAAAAAAGGAACGACGTAGTTCCTTCTCAGGAGAGTTCCAAACGTTCCTTTTTCCTTTCACCTTCGAACCATCTCTTCTCCACTGCGCGGTCTCTCTCTTCTACACTATAGTGGCGTACGCAAAAGAAATCGCCGTTTGAAGGAGCATTAGAAACTCGAACACTATTTGGCAGACCAATTTTTGGGGGAGAATCCTTAAAATTTTAAGCACGTAATTTGCTGTTTATGTGAAAAATCCTCAGACATTATACCAGGTACTGTTTAGCTGGATTTCTGAGTTGTGTTAGCAATTTTTATAGCTTTGTCATGATCACTGTTGTGTGCTTGGATTGACCTAATTTTGGCAATGGAGCTTACTGTGCTAGTGTATTTATGTGATTTGAATTTAATCTTTTGCTAAGAAGTTGGCTCACATTTTTGTCACATACGTAAATGAATTCTTTGGCCTTCCAAATTCAACATTGGAAAGTTGGCTAACATTTTTATTCTTCTGCAATGAAAATCTGTTCAATTTGTTTAAACCCCAACAAAATTTATACTTTTGTATATGGAATTTCTCTATTATGTTTTTGAATTGTATCATATTTGTAGATAATAAATATTTATTCTCAATTTTGTTTTTGAATTGTAGAGAATATTCAGACTGACGCTACGATTACAACAAGATGTAGACTCCAAGTAGTACAAGATGTTTATGAACAACTGGATACAAATCACAAAAGCAAGCTTCGGGAGAGCTGCTTTGGATATCTGCTTAGACTTAGGAATATAAGGTTGGCTTCACAAGTCATCCAACAGTTGTTATTAAGGAAAATGAAGACCAACAAAAATGGAGAAGTGTGGTTCAAGATAGGAGATAAACGAGCGAGGTTTGGATTGGAAGAATTTGTTTTAGTCACTAGGTTAAATGCAGCTGATGAGAATGATGTAGATAAGACTTTGGGGGCGGAGTCTTAGATTGTGAGAGAATATTTTAAGAATAGTGGGGGGGAAATTATAAAAGGAGATGTCTACAATGCATTTGCATGTTGTAAGAAGAGAAAGAAAGACAAGTATAAGTTGGGATTGATCGTAATATTGACGTATGTCCTGTGAGTCACAGAAGAAAATACCTACATCGATTTATGGTGGTTGGACTTGGTGGATGATTTGGACAAGTTCGAGAAGTATCCGTGGGGGAAGATTTCATTTGAATACATGATGAATGTATTCAAACGTGAGATATGGGTAAATTGAAAAGTTCCAATGTCGGAAGAGAGTCACGTTGTCGGTCTTCTTTGCACGACTTTTCTCTTGCTATAATGGTATGAACAAATAATATACTTGACTTGTAATATTTTGTATATATAAATTTTTGTCATGAGATAGTAATGTATGTTTTATAATAGATTTGAAAATTCAAAGCGATTCCAACTTTGGGAATGAAGTTTGCTACAAAATATCGAAATGTAATTCCAAGAATGGTTGTTTGGGAAATGCGGAAGAGGTTAGCGTCTGTCGTCATTGATATTGTGTTGAAATCGAAAGAGGTAAATTTATGTTTTTTAAAGTTTAATTCCACATTGATTCCTACTGAAGCTGAGCTGGAAGAGGTCTATTGGAAAGAGTTAACACCGATTGTGGGGGTACTTTTAAAATTGACCTACTCAAAGGTATTTTCACTTTGACTTTTAAAAATTTGAAAATTATCACATTAACCTCTTGAATGGTAAAATATAAAGATGCCCTTAAATATATTGCCCTTGTTTGAGCCCCATTCGTTTGGAAAAATACATTTTTCAACCGTGTTTTGACATCATTTTAACCACACATTTTTCAATAAAATAATATTATACGTAAATCCAAAATTTTTCTTCATTTTTTAACAACACATTTTTCATCAATACATTATTCAAAAATTTATTCTTCCCAAAAAAATGGGACTCAAACAAAGGCATTATATAATTACAAAATATTAGATAATTTAAAACAAGGGCATTATCTAACAGCGACAGGCTACTATTTAAGCCGACAGTCGACTGTTAAATAGCCGACGTGACAGTCGGCTGTGACTGTAAAACAATCCACAATCGGCTGTTTTTTCGACTGTTTTACGAATTTATTATTATTTTTAATTTCTGTTTTGACAATTGTCTTATAATTTTAATTACAATTTGATTAAATAAATAAATATTTAAATTTTTGTTGTCGTAATTGATTTAAAAATTCTATATCGTCATGCAGATATGACAATCTCGGTCTGTTATTTCGATGATTTCGAACTGAATGAAAATAATAGATGAAAATGGAGATGGACGAGTGATGTATGTGGTTGTATTGCAATTCCTGTTACAGAGAGTACATCATATGCAGAAGTGTACCGGTATTTGCAAAATAAGTTGAATGTCGATTCTTCTCAGTACGATATGCAACTGAGATATTTATTCAATAGTTATAGGGATTCGTTCATTCCGATTCCACCTATATTTGTTACTAATGATGCTGAATTGAATTATCTATTAGAACTGAATAAAATGCATAAGACTCCACTGTTCTTGGCGTGATGTTAGTTAAGAATGATGTTGTCGAAGGTGAACGCGAAGACTCAGATGGAGCGGATAATAATGATCGAGATTTTTGGGAGACAGTGGAGATAGTTCTTGAAGATGGTGTAGATAATATTTTCGATGATGAGAATTTGTATGTCGAGCAACTATTTGAAACCAAGAAAGATTTGCAGGATGCTGTGCATCAGATGACATTAAAATATTACTTTGAGTTTAAGGTAAAGAAATCAATCAAGTCATTGTTGACAGTTGCCTGCGTTGACGACAATTGCAATTGGCGCTTGAGAGCGACTAAGATGGACACGAATGAGTGCTTTGTAGTTTGCAAATATGTACGGGAACATACTTGCTAAGTGAAAATTTTTCGAAATGATCATAGGCAGGTTCAAGCATGGTTTATTGGTCAACATATAATGCACAAGTATTAGGATCCACGGAAGATCTACGACCTTCGGACATCATTAACGATGTTCGTCGAGAGTATAGAGTGGTCATAAGCTACCAGAAGGCCAAAGAATGTGCGTTGAAGGATTTAATGGGATCAGCCGAGGAGAGTTATGCTAAATTGGCCAGGTATTGCCATAATATGGTGAGAACTAATCCTGACTCGATATTTTTTATTGAGACGGGGGGCGGTCATTGTTTTAAGTATTTTTTTATGGTTCTCAGATAATGTATTCGGGGTTTTAGTCTATGGTACAACTCTGAAAGCTAGATATCAAGGCAAGTTGATTATTGCTACATGTCAAGGCGTCAACATCCAAATCTACCCTCTTGCATTTGGCATAGTCAACAACGAGAATGATTTGTCGATGCATTGGTTCTTTTCTAGACTGAGGGAAGTGATCGGGGAAGTCGAAGATCTTGTCTTTGTAATTGATCGGGGACAGTCTATAATAAACGGTATCGCTGAAGTTTTTCCCATGACACATCACGGGTATTACATGTACCATATATAAGGCAATTTGAAGACTAGATATCGGGGTAAAGGCACCGTTTCATTGTTCAGGAGAGCAGTCGAAGCTTACAGTGTTGAGGAGTGTAATCAGTTCATGGTCGAGATAGGAAATAAATCATTAGCGACGTGGGAGTATCTAACGAACATGGGGATTGGACATTGGGCGCGGTCATACTTTCTAGGACGTTGATACAACATGATGACGTCGAATAACGCGAAGTCTCTCAATGCATTATTTGAGATAAATTGAGAGTTTTCAATTCTCGCAATGATTAGGAACATTCGTAACAAGCTGCAACAGTGATTTTATGACCGACGTGCGGCGTCACAGAGTTGCACCAGTGTGCTGGCCCCAGCTCAAGAGGGGAAACTCTTCAAAGCTGCAGATGTTGCGAAAAAGTTGAATGTAGAAGCACTTGATGAGTTTCGCTTCTTCGTGCAATGTGCACGTAATACGGCATACATGGTTGATTTGACTGATAACATATGCACTTGTATGAGATTTCAGTTGGAGGGTTTTCCATGTGAGCATGCAGTCGCGATGGCCATGTATCGAGGCTTTGTAGCGAGAACATTATGTTCTTTGTACTACACGGCTGAGTCGTGGAGAGCAGCATATGCTAAGACTATATTTCCTTTGTCGAATGAAGTCGAGTGGGAAGTTCCTGACCATATTCTCCCGTTCAATAGTTTGTTGCCACCAGCAGTTGAACCGCGTGGTTCTGGATGTCCAAGTACATTTAGAATACCATCTATTGGAGAGTTTCCTCGACTGCGTAGGTGCAGCAAGTGCAGAGCCATAGGACATATTTGTCAATTTTGTACTAGTCAAATTCTCCTAAATGATAATTAAACTGATGTGTTCAATGTATAATATTTTCGTTTACTTTTACACTGTTCAATGTTTATTCGAGATTACAGATAATTACGAAAAACAGTTACAAATAATTAATTACAAAAAAGTTTTACAAAGATTAATTACAAAAAAATATTTACAAATAATCTATGGAT